ATATGTATTTCCCACCATTATTCACACAAGATGATGACCATGATGAAATAGCAGACATCGTGCTGTCACGGATGGGAACGTCCAATGTTTTACAAGAGCGTCTTGAAAGCCAAGCTAAGGTAAAGTGGATAAAAATGGCACTGCAAAGTTTACCAGATTTTCCTACTTTATCTGAAAAGGACATGAGAATTATTACTTTAGGAATCTACCAATCTGAAAATGCACCATTATATGCTGCAGAACACGTTGGTGATGAAGAATTTTTTGAATTATTGGTTTGTCGCGCAGATAATTATTTAATAAAAGGAAAAATTAAATCAAGACATGTATCTAATACGAAATATCAAAGCTGGATTCAGTACTCTCCATCAAACGAAGGACACAAATCTATTTTAGGATGGGCTTGTACTTGTAAAATAGGTTTGCGCAATGTTGGATGTTGTTCTCACGTTGCTTGTATACTGTGGTTTTTCGGACGTCCCTCAAACACTAATACAATAAAAAGAAAACATAATTACATAGCTTCTTTATTAGATGCTAAAGCAATTAACAGCACAATTGATAGAGAAGAAAGTGAAAATTAATATGTAATAAATAAATCCTATATAATATATTAATAAATAAAACACAAAAATATTATGGACTGTTGTAAAATATGTTAAAATGCCATTTTCTGAATTTTTTAAAACCATGTTTAAAATATAAAAAATTGATATCGTGCTTTGAATTCACAGTTATAGAAACAGAAAATTTTTCATTCAAGATTTTAATTTGTGAGATATGTATGTATATTCTAAAATTTTGTAAGTAAAAGTCAATATTAAATATAATTTTGGTCGTTAATCAATTTACAAAAGGTTATCGAAAAAACAAGAAAAGATAATTTCGACAACATTATGTCGATTTTCGTGCTCACAAGTATAACAACTTAATCATCACGAAGTTTTCAAAAGAGAGATGATGCAGTTTGCTGTGATTAACTAATTTTCGAGAAAATTCTAACATAAGCAAACGTGGTTTGCACTACAATAACAAAAATATACCAGCTTATACATAGAGGTGAAAAATAAATAACTATCACTACAAAAATCATGTTCAAATACCAAAAACACTGAAATACCCAGAATCCGCATTTGTGATTGTAGGGTGCAAGAGTGTGCCACCGTTCACCTCCGCTGAAAGTGCACTGTAACCTGCAATTTGAATTCGGTACTATGTATTGTTCATAGTTCATAGAGTCCGTATTAAAACCTTCCGGCAGGTTTGTACTGAATTATATAGGGCTTGGGTAGGATATTTTGAATATCCAAGCAACAAACCTTCAATAACATTTTTCTAAATCTTTTTTTTTGAAGAGTTGTTGTGTTTTCTGTGTTTTGCCTCAGCCGGTTTATAGACTGCTTAATTTTGAAAAAGTGAAGTTATACCTAATACCTGATTTTCTATTACATTTTGTCCTGTTTATTATTTAACTACCATAAGTAATTTAATATGTATTTAGAGAATTCTTAGTTGACAACCGTTTATTGCCCAAGATTTACAAATAGCTTCCAAGAAGAAATGTTTAGAGGTAAGTTAACCATTCATTTATGATCATGAATTAAAAAGCGTGAATTCAATTTTTAGTGAAGTTTTGTAGTTTCTGAGAATTTTATGGAAATCAATGTTAGGTATATAATATAATGCACAAATTATGGTATTGTGAAAATTAACATAGAAGAATCTTCAAGCTTTCTTGCACACAAGTACCAGAACAATTGTGAAAACTGGATTCAGATTGCTTGTGTTCAATTCAATCGTCGTTTAACGATTCAAATGTGATGTTATATCTATTTTTCGAAGGTACTACAGAACGAACGAAGTGTGTTTTATCCAAACGAGTACTTACAAAGTGGCAACGTGGTTCTTGGAAAAGTTTTATACCTAACTATTCCATGTAATTGTGGATGACCTGAATTTATTATGTTGCCAAAGTACAATCAAAATACCTAATACTGAGACAAATCAGAAAACTGAATTACATAGGTGGTAGGTATAGTTTAGAAAGTAATTTGAATGTTTTTATATAAATATAATTATCCATTGCAGGAAAAAACTGTATAAGAAGAACATTTTGATTTGATAAATATTTTAAAGTGTATGAACAATTTTTCATTAACAGGTTGACTTTAGATTCCGGTAATGATAAACATAAAAAGTGAATTATTAAACCTAAAATTATTTTACTAATTACTGTCTTAGATCAAGATTTTGGTGGATGTTATTCAGAAAATGATTCTTCCATTATTCACCATGGTTGCGAGATACCAGTGCTTACAAAATATCGATTTTTTTATGGAATGCGGATTCCATTATAATTGTTCAACGTAACATTCGGTCAACTTTTAACCCCGAGTAGAATAAATGTCACTATGCTGTTGTAGAATAGAATTTATGAAGTGGCATTCTTCATTAATTTCCTATTACTGTAAATGTGGTTATAAGTTTGTAAGGCGCAAGCAGTAATATTGAAACAACTATAGTACTTTGTTTCGAAGGGTAAGCAGTCAATGTAAAAAATAAAACGAAATTGTTGAATTTGTCTTGCTTTGGAAACACTCTTCAACGACAATTGACTAAAAATGGATTTATATTTTGACTTTTGTTCTTTAGTGTTGGAAATATATGTAGCTAACAATAATATTTTAATCTTCTCTTCGTTGTCAACAGAAGGAAACCAAACAGTAGTACAAATAAATGTATAACTGCAACACGAGGCGTGTTAAGTGTTTATGAAAATAGGATTACAAAAAACGTCTTTTTAGTCACATTGTGAAAAATATTTCTTTCACAGGTAAAAGTCCTCTAAAATAATTTTATTAGTCTAGCTTGGTTATTTGTAATATTTTTCTATCACGGTCCCACACTACGGGATAGTTGAGTAAATCTTCAACAATGGCGCATAAAAATTCATTTTTCTACAATCGTGTAAAAAATGACTCATATCTCAATGATTTAGAGTGCAAAAAGTGGCACTTTCTTGCACTAGTGCAAGAAAAATGTTATTGCACTCTAATGTCAATCTAATCAACGTCAGTAGTATATTGTATAACAAGTGCCTGAGCTACGAGCGACAGCGCTGTCGCTCGTAGCTCAACTGGCACACTCATTTGAAATATCCTTTTGGCACGTGTTGTACACTATACTTCTCCTACGCCTATCCTCCTTCATTCAAAATTTTAAAGAAAATAGAAGTAATAAACACCATTAACACAATATTTATTCAAATCCAGTACATTTTAATAATGATTGATATTTTCCTCTTTCGAAGCACTCATAATAAAATTTTGCACTCGACACTGTTGGAGTTAATTTTAATTTGCATTTATTTATCAACAACACCAAGTCATTTTATGGTGACAAAACAAAAAGCGAACGCCATCGGCTACACAGTTAATTCATCATAAATAACTGCACTTTCATTCATTTTTCATGCATCTTCCGTTGACACAATTATCTTCGTTCATTTCACACATGTTCTGAAACATCAATGAAATCTGACGTTTTTGAACAAGGCAAACTATGTCGAAAATACAACTTTCCAAAATAGGCGTAGAACATTTTTATTTAGGTATATCCACATTTTCTTTCACCGAAAGGGAAGCAAGTATCATGGAATATTCGGACCAGAGGGTAGAAGGCTTTAAATACCTTCGTTGACCGATCGGAAAAATAAGCCAGAAGCACGGCTTCTGCACAACCTTTTTGTCTGCACACCATTCTTTGAACCGGTTGTATGTTAGATCATATTGTTTTCGGAATTTCTCGGGCAATAAATTAAATATTGCCGCATTGGCCATCTCGGTAATTTCAGAGTTTGTTTAATATTCGCTCGAATCGCTCATTTTGGGGTCAACACGGTTCAAAACACTCACTCACTACTATTTATGGCGTTTTATTTTATTTTGCAAATTGTTTTTTTTTTGGAAACATTGTTTGATTGTCATGGTAGTCACGGCGAACTAACGTAAGACTGCATGATGATACCTGTTAGTTGTTGTAGAATTTTAATCCCCCAAGTCCCCAATAAAACTGGTACATTATAACCACGATTGTAGAAAAAATGTTGTATGCAACACATGCAAAAGTGTTCTTGCACTTGACGTATTGTCTGAATCGACCTTCGGTCTAAATTCGGCATAAATAACTATAAAGTTCATTTAAGGTGAAAATATGTGGCTATAGTGAGAAATATATACCATGTTGAATTTTCAAATATTTTGATTAATTTGACGCATTCATTGACAATATAACACTTCATTCAGGGCATATTTTGTGTGGATTCAACATTTGAAAATGAATGTTGTATAGTTTTAATTTTCTCTGTCAATAAATATATATTGAATGTAAAATTAATTAACACTAAAATGACCTTTATCTATAAGTTATTACGTTTCAGATGATCCATCTAACGAATGCAATTTGGAAAGTATTCTGCTTATATTAATACGTATAGAATATAGCCAGAAAACACAGGACAGAATTTGGAGCGATCGTATTTATCCTATATTTTAGTAATTTATACAAAAATTTTTTCGTGTACCAAGGTCATTTGTTCAATTAAACCTGATCTTCACGGTTAATTCCAGATATTGGTGTCATACTTAGAAAAATAGGATTGTTAGAGAAAAATAAATATAATTGATTTAATTCTGTTACTTTCAACATTTAACTTGTCTAGTTAGGAATTTGTCCGATGTTTTTAAAATTATAGTGAAGAACTTATTTCTTTGTCTAGTTACTTTATTAAAAAACATTTGATATTAAGTAATTAATATTCACTGTTAAAGAAAATTTTTAGCGTTTTGCACTGAATTTAGATATAATTTGTCCTAAATAAAAGTTTTATTTTATAATCATAAGACATATTTTTGTAAAAGTAAGCAATACACTTTTTTGTAAACATTCCTATATTGTTATTATTATATAAAGTTTACTACATTTATTATTATGTAGATGTATATATCAGCGATAGCAGATCGCGAGGGCCCGTGGCTTGTTGGGCTGGTCCACTGAAGCGGACGAGCGTTACCTTGCGATATTGCTATGTCGAGACTCGTGCTCTAGTCAAGTTCGCGAAAAAAATCAAGCATGTGTGCTTACGATGCTATGGCAGTGTTTATAAATAAGTGACAATTATTTTAGAAAAGTGAATTAACTCGTAAGTACTTTTAGACATTTTCTTAATCTTTTATAAATTATACATTAACGTACACCAGAAATGAGTCAGCCAGCGAGTCCGTCCGGTGCCGTCCAGGCGTCCATCAGCCCCAAGAACGATGAGGAGGCAGTAACGGTGACCCTCACAAAAACGGTATCTAATAAAAATAAATCGTATCTATTTCAATTCTGACCCATCAATCATTGCAGGAATTCACGGCGCTGAAACTTATTCAGCAAAATAGTGTCAGCAACAACAGCTTAAGGTAAGATAACCATCAGATAGAACTATTCTGCTTGACGTATTTTCGTAACAATTAAATATGTGTCACTTATTTTACAATTTAATTATGAAAATGGACGCAAAAATAATAGTTTGACTAAAAAGTACATTTGTTCGACATAATTAATCATACCTTATTCTTCAGAAAAATGATTGGACAAAAAAAGAATTCAGAACGGAAAAAAGGCGGCGGCGAGAAGGTAGGACCAGTATGTACAGAGGCAGAGCAACGTGATGTTGAAGGCTCTAGAGGGAGGGGGAGCAATCGTGGAAGAGGATACAGAGGACGGGGAAGGTGGAGAGGAAGAGGAAATAGCAGGAATGAAGGACGTAGAGACATATATGGGAATAGCGAAGGTTACAGAGGGAGAAATAAAGGCAGAAGTGGCTATAGGGGCATGCTAAGGGGGCAGCAGAGTAGGAACGAAGTGAGTGTGTACGGTAACACTGTTAACGTTACCGTGCACAATCATCATTGAAGCCTTTTAATTTGTTTGTGTTTTTTTATATTTTACTTTTGTTTTTTTGTGTTTTGTTTGTTTTCCTGTTTTGAATTAATAAATATGTTTAAATTAAATAGATTTTTTATAGTCATAATTAAAGAACAAACAATTATTTTACCTATTTTTAATTAAAAGTATAAGATGGTTTTTCTCTAGTAAGTGTTAAACCAGATCTCTTTTAACGTTGTTGGAAGTTAAATTACTTTTGTTTTTAATAAGGCTTATTTTTGTTTTTATCTTTTTATTTTGGATTAACGCAATGCAAACTAGCAATAAAATAACTTATTAATCAAAAAATGTACGCAAAATTGTTACATCACAAAACAGAAATGGAACATTAGATTTTGTAAAACAGTAATAATTTTTATGCCATCATTGAAAACTTTAAAGAATTCTAATTCAGAGACAAATCTCAGATTTGAAGAAGTATTTCTTGAAACGAGCGGAAAGAAATGAAATGTTTCGCACCATCACAAGAGCAGATTTGAACCACACACCCTTAAATCTGTCGAACACCGAAGAAATCCACACCCCCCACACAATAGATAAAATAATAAGTGGGTTAAAACAAAAACAACTTCATGGAAAATTCTACAAAGACTTAGAAGAAACTCATGTCAATAAGAAGATGTCATTGATTTGGTTAAAAAAATCAGGTTTGTATGCCGAAACAGAAGGATTTGTGTTTGCTATTCAAGACCAAGTAATCAATACCAAGAATTACAAAAAATACATCATCAAAGATCCGAACATAAGAAACGACTGCTGTCGCCTCTGCAAAGCAAAACCTGAAACGATCCAGCACATAATCTCTTCCTGCAGCATCCTAGCACAAACTGACTACAAAGCTAGACACGACAACGTCACCAAAATCATCCACAAAGAATTAGCAACAATTATGAACTTAATCGAAGATACGACACCGTATTACACTTACATTCCATTTCCGTTCCTTGAAAATAACAAATACAAATTATACTGGGATCGCACAATACTTACAGACTTAAACATTACAGCTAACAGACCAGACATCATACTTATCAAAAAACACACGAACGAAGCCATTCTCATTGACATTGCTGTTCCTAACACAAACAACATTCTTCAAACATACCACACCAAGATTTCAAAATATCTACAATGATCGATAGAAATGAAATCCATGTTGAATCTTAAAAAAATTTCAATTCTACCCCTAGTTATCTCTAATGTAGGTGTAGTTCCAAATAGCTTAGTTGAGAATTTAAAGTCTTTGCATTTGAATGATTCAATAATTATCAAAATTCAAAAAGCTGTTTTGTTAGGAACATGTCATATTGTTCGTAAGTTTCTTGAACAGTCTGAACATGTCAGTCAGATTAGATTAGCACCAGTAGGTCAGAGTAGTGTAGGTCACTTTCCAAGTGATGCGCGGATAAATGGTCGGTAGTTACGCTAGACTTTTGGGGATGGGGTGAGATTAGAGAATAATAGCAGACTAATTTGTATGCTGTAATTCTAGAATCTCGAAAGTTGTTCTGTTAATCTAATCAATACATATCATTACTTGGTCTTAGTACCCGTAATGATAGAAGTCTTGCCTGAATGCCGGTCATTTCCGGGTCAGTGGTGGGTCTTAACCTAATAAGCGTAAGGATTGACGATTATAGAAGTAACTAATGTGGAAATACTGTGTCAAAGATTGCAAAAGATAAATTGCTTTGTCATGATTACCATCCTTAAATATATATTAAAATACTCAGTTTGCTGCTAACTGATACTGATAATGTAAACTACGAGAAACTAAGACGTAAATAATATGGTAGGTATAAAATATAGGATTCTCCTACCCGTATTATGTTTTAATTTTAAAACTACAATTCCAAGTAAAAAATATCGTTCAGGATAAAACATGAAAAGGTCGCTACTAGTTACACTGCATTTACCTTTTACGTTTGGGTTCCAGTTTTATCTCGAATTGAAATCTCCGACTTTTATTTTTTTAAATAAAAAAAAAACAATGTATCATCCAGTGTACACATATTTCTACTTCGTAGTTAATAGATATATATTTATAAAAATAATCATCAAACACGGCTGAACATAATCGATATTTCTTTGTGAAAAAAGGTACGGATGTTACCAACATAATTCAACACCAGAATATTTATAAAACTGAAAAACCTGGCAATTCATTTAGTGTTCCTAACTTTACAGTTATAATTAAATACTGATTTAAATTACGTTATGCACTACATCTTTTACAAAGTAAAAAAATTAACAGGAAAACATGAATGTGGTTATTGTTTAAAAAGCAGTAAAAGTATCAGAGTCAAGTACGAAAATGCTAAGCAACACCGAAAATCTATGTTATCAGTGTTAACTGATGTTAGTTCAAAACATAAACTAAATGAATCTTAGGATTTTTTAACTACTGAAAACAAATCCTCAAGAATATGTGAAACAAACAACAAACGTGATTTTTCATATTTTAATATATATTTAATATCGATATGTTAAAAAAACAACTGTTAAGGTTTTTCCAGAAGATGTTAATAAAAAAGTGCCAGTAATGCCAACCAAAGGAGGTTGCAAAAGTTTGTAATTTCTTTTGTTGTTTACATACTATACACGTATGTATTGAGGATATCGGTAATAATAAGGCTAAAATCGCCTTATTTTAATTGGTCTAAATACTGTTAAAAAATCTGAAATAACTTTCCTGGGTTCTGCGCGCTTATTACATTAAGCTTCAATATTGTCCTTTTAGAGTTCATAAATGAATTTAACCTTCAAATTAAGACTCAAATATCCACTACTACTTATCGTGACGCAGTTTTTTCCATTCCATCACTATTGTATGCAGATATTTTACCACTGCAAAATATTTCATTGTTTTCTTATGAACTAAAATTATTAAGCAGCCCGTACATGCTTTATTTTAAAATATGAACAACCCTTCTCAGCCGGTAGTATTTATTGAAAAAATTAGTTGTTTTTTTCCTGGGCCGAAAACCAGGCCTTATCGTATAGGGTCCTTTCAAAGTTCGAAATTTCAACGGTCGATTCTGGAAAAACGGTTGCAGGTATCAAAAACCGAAGCCGGATTTGAGTTCTGTAGCTCGAAATCTACAAGAAAATGTATTTAGTTGAGTTTCGAAAATGTCAAAATTTTTGCGAAATTTGAAGAAGGGGGACCATTAAAAAATTTCAATTTTAAAAAAGTTTGTCTGAAAATTATGAAAAAATTCAGGACGTAGATCTCGACACGCTGATTCCAAAAATATAGCATGTTGATGATCACGAAGCAACATTTTCGAAAAAATCGCTGCGAAATGCGAATTTTTGAAAATTTCAAAAATTTCGAAATTTCTACGGTCGATTCTGGAAAAACGGTTGTAGGTATCAAAAAACCGAAGCCGGATTTAAGTTCTAGAGCTCGAAATCCACAAGAAAATATATCTAGTTGAGTTTCGAAAATGACAAAATTGTTGTGAAATTTGAAGAATTAAAAAATTTCAATTCTAAAAAAGTTTTCTAAAAATTATGAAAAAGTTCAGGGACGTAGATCTCGACACGCTGATTCCAAAAATATAGCGTGTTGATGGTCACGAAGCAACATTTTCGAAAAAATCGCAGCGAAATATCAATTTTTGAAGATTTCAAAAATTTCGAAATTTCAACGGTCCATTCTGGAAAAACGGTTGCAGATATCAAAAAACCGAAGCCGGATTTGAGTTCTAGAGCTCGAAATCTTCAAGAAAATGTATTTAGCTGAATTTCGAATATGACAAAATTTTTGCGAAATTTGACCACTAAAAAATTTCAATTTTAAAAAAGTTGTCTAAAAATTATGAAAAAATTCAAGGACGTAGATCTCGACACGCTGATTCCAAATATATAGCATGTTGATGGTCACGAAGCAACATTTTCGAAAAATTCGCTACCAAATGCGTTTTTCTGAAAATTTAAAAAATTTCGAAATTTCAGCTGTCGATTCCAGAAAAACGGTTGCAGGTATCAAAAAACCGAAGCCGGATTTGAGTTTTAGAGCTCGAAATCTACAAGAAAATATATTTAGTTGAGTTTCGAAAATGTAAAAATTTTTGCGAAATTTGACCATTAAAAAATTTTAATTTTAAAAAAGTTGTCTAAAAATTATGAAAAAATTCAAGGACGTAAATCTCGACACGCTGATTCCAAAAACATAATATGTTGATGGTCACGAAGCAACATTTTTGAACAAATCGCTGCGAAATGCGAATTTTTGGAAATTTCAAAAATTTCGAAATTTCAACGGTTGATTCTGGAAAAACGGTTGCAGATATTAAAAAACCGAAGCCGGATTTGAGTTCTAGATCTCGAAATCTACAAGAAAGTGTATTTAGTTGAGTTTCAAAAATGTCAAAATTATTGCGAAATTTGAAGAAGGGGGGACCATTAAAAAATTTCAATTTTAAAAAGTTGTCAAAAAATTATGAAAAAATTCAGAGACGTAGATCTCGACACGCTGATTCCAAAAATATAGCATGTTGATGGTCACGAGGCAACATTTTCGAAAAAATCGCTGGGAAACGCGAATTTTTTAAAATTTCAAAAATTTCGAAATTTCAACGGTGGATTCTGGAAAAACAGTTGCAGGTATCAACAAACCGAAGCCGGATTTGGGTTCTAGAGCTCGAAATCTACAAGAAAATGTATTTAGTTGAGTTTCGAAAATGTCAAAATTTTTGCGAATTTTGAAGAGGGAACCATTAAAAAATTTCAATTTTAAAAAAAGTTGGAAATATTCATAAGGGAAAATTTTGGTTTTGAAAAAGTTCGTCAAAAATAAAAAAATTCTAGAATATAGAACGGGAAAATTGAAAAAAAAGTACAAAATTGGAAATTCTATAAACTAAAGAAGTGAAGAACTGAAACCGAAAAAAAAATTGAGTCCAAAAACTGAAAATTATTAAACAATCGAAAATCAAAAATCGAAAAATCGGAAAGTAGTAACATTGAAATTCGTACAATAAAAATCGAAACCTCAAGAAATCAATAAACAAAAAAATTGAAAAATCGAAAAACTGAATAATGAGAAAATTGAAAATGT